CCCCCCCTGTCTGGAGAGACACGAAGTGAAATTGACATTTGAGGCCAGAGGCCTAATGGTCCTTGAGGTCTGACCCGTAAGACCCCTGACATTAGGGACAGTGACAATGAGTTACAGGATTCGTTGCCCCAGGCTATGGGGTCCTGGAAGAGAGCACCCATACAGTGCATGCCCTGAGAGTCTAAGGACCATCCGAGTGGAAAGGGGACCACTTGGGCTTCCTGTCTTCCTGTTGCACAGGTGTAACAATCGCTCTTATTTAGAGTGCGAACAGAATATTTAATCCATTCCAACCAAGCATTCGCATCCCCATATCCTGTTTCTATAGCTATAGTTTGTCTTAGGTCTTTAACTTACATAATTGTCGCTTTGGAAGGGTAATTTCCTGAACTTAAAGGGTGGGGGGAGGTATTAGATCTGAATCATTTCTAGAATTCTATGTTTGAGTTCTATCTTTGGTAAAGGTAGGCCTTGAATTTTGTCTGATTAGTTTTAGAGAGGAGACTCCTACAGGATCTTTTCCTGTAACAGTAGCTCTCAATCCATAGTTCCCTATTATTGAAGGCTCTCTAGTCATGGTTTTGGGATTATCTATAATTAAGAGTAACGGGTTGATTGCATTGTTAGGATTTGCAATGGGGGGCTGGGGTAGACCTTCGTACGAGCTAGAAGTCCATTACCGATATTGGGTGGGCCATCGAACATCATTCCAGTTATTACAGGGACCTTTCAAGGCACTATATTTATGTTTGTTTCTCATTGTTCTAAAGGGGAAAGACATTTATCAACATAAGACAATTGTCTCTGAGACTTCTCTTGTCTGCATGGGACAGCAGAACAGGGAGAGATGCCATAGTTGTATCTACTATTAATTTGATTGGCTGGTCATAGGCAAAATCGCTTTGCATCTCTTTCATGGCACAGGTACATTTTACCCACATTAGCTTCTAAACCCAAACCATGTTGTCAGGGACACAGTAGAACTCTTGAGCCCTAGACCCCTCTTATTCTGGCTTTGTATTTACCCCTGTACCCTGAGTTTTCTCTTACTATAAATAGGGATCAAGGAAGTGAGTAAGACATTTCTAGTCCAACAAGAATGGTAATACTGAGAAGACTAGCCTCGAGACAAAGATAAGGATATCAAAACCTGAAACCCTAATTGAAGCGCTGGCCACAGGCAGAAGAGCCATGACGATAATGCCTAGAGCTGACAATTGCAGAAGGAACTCCATTTTCAATACGTCTGCATCCTTTGATGAATATTCAACATATCATTCCTCTTAATCAATGTTTTAGCCTATTCTTAGAGGAAGAGAACCCATACCTTTATAAGTTCCAGTGCACCTACATTTTACCAGGTCTGAGAAGCGGCAACTCAGTGGGACTAGTTCTTTAGACCCCTGAGAGCCAGAGGGACCAAGGAAAAACATGACAATCTGGCAGACGTGTGGCAGGGCAGCCTCTCAGCTTCTTTCCAGGGTCACTTTGAGAGGTTCCTTAGGTGAAGAATGTGTTTTCCACCAGTAACTACATTTCTCTTGGGGAGAGTCCCTTTTTACCGGTTCCTTTATTTAAGTAGTTAGTCCACTCGTCCGTGGTTGGCTGCCTCAATGGTCAACTGTACCTGGGAAGGACCCTCACAGTTCGGCTGGAGTCTGTTCTCTTTCCAGGTCTTAATAAGCATCAAGTCTCGTGGTCAGAAGTGATGAACACTGAATTTGAAGGGATGGGTTTGGACCAAAAGTTCTTTTAACGTCTACAGCATAATATAGTTTTCCTCCTCTTAAAAAGACAAAATACATACATACAGGGTGGTCCACATTTTAACAACAACAACAAAAATGTTTTCAATTTAGAAAGAGTATTGGTACACCAAATATCTTTTAAAACAGTATTTTGTTCTCAGAGGATCTGAAACATTAATACAAAAATAAAATACATACAAACGAAGTCTTGAGCAGTGTACAATTGAAAAAAAAAATGGTTATCACAACAACCAAACAAATCCTTAATTATACTTTAAATGGATTAATTTATACAATTTTACTGTAGAAATAAAATCAAAGATATTAAAACAGAACGAAACAACGTCTCACTGCCCGATTCACATTAAGTTTCACCTTGTTATGGGTAAACTCAGAATTCTGCATTGGAAGCTCTAACAGCCTGTGTCTACATTTATCTTAAGACTTCTATTTGAAAAACTACCATATTGGCTGTGGATCCTTTCTCCCTTCTATGGGGATAAGGTATTGTCTTCTAAGGACCACCTCCCCCCCTCCACACACACACACACACACACACACACACACTTTTTTTTTTTATCTTCCATTTTGGCCATTCTCTCTTAAAATGTCCTACTTTTTCACACTTTAAGTATCTGTTTTCTCCTCTGGCTGTTTTGGGGTTCCTCTCTCCTCCTGTTTAGTCCTGACTGTGGGAGTTGGGATCCCAAACAGCATTGGTTAATTATCCTTCCCTGAGTTGCCTGCGGGAAAGAGGTGGTAGTGTGGAGTCGATTCTGACTCATAGTGACACTATATATGGTTTCTAAGGCTGTAAACCATTACAAGAGCAAAAAGCTTCATCTTTCTCCCATGGAACTGCTGGCAGTTTCGAACTGCTGACCTTGAGGCCTGTAGCCTGATTTGTAACCATTATGCTACTAGAGCTCCTTGCCCTAAGGTTGACAACAGAGTTTCGGCTTTCTGTTTCTGTTTTTCTCTATCCTGTTTTACATAGACCTTTTCTATATCTTATCATGTTCTTCCATAGACCTGTTTGTCCAGTTTTCTATTCGTGTCCTTTTACAAATATCAGGCCAAGTATTAGTGACGAAACAGAACTTTAACACTCCCTGGCCCAAAGGATTTTTTTTTTTGGGGGGGTGGGGGTCTCCTGAACCAGTTAGGGGTACACTGAGGATCCCAATTTCTCCTCTTCCTAAGGGACTTTTCAGAGGAGAGTTCAGTGTTGTGAGTTGAGGGGGGGGGTGTAGGAGAAAGGGCAGGATTGTAAGGCAGAGGGTAGAGAGAAAAGGGGGTCCCAAGGGGAAGAAAGTTTTTCTTTCTCCACCTTGTTATCCCTTGTCTTAAGTGCAAATAGGACAACAGGACCCTGTCTCCAGCATAGGGCATAATCTATTTCCTCCTGAGGGATAGGAGTTTTCTTACTGACATATTCAGTTAAAGATTGGCAGACCCAGTCCTCCTCTGAGTCAAATTTAGGCCAAAAGACAGTTTTAAAAATTGGTTCCTGTGTCCAAAAGATACAGCAATATCTTATCATTTGTTAGTTTTATTTCCCTTTAATCCGAGGGTTCTCTCTGCAGTATTTTAACATGAATCCCAATGGTCTATCAAGGGGGATTTTGTTGTTTGGGGTCCCATTTTCTCTAGAGCTTCTTTCACTAATGTTATTTCCCATCCCGGCTACCTGGTTGTGTTTCCAAAGCGGCTCAACCTACCCCTATACCTGGAGGTTTCTTGCTCTCTTTATTTTTGCTTTGTCCATCTCTGGCTGCTTTCCTCTCGGGAATGTTGGACCCCTTTTAGCAATTGGCGTTTCGGTATAAACCCCCGACTCGGATCGAATCCTTGACTCGATACCGCCCTCAGCCATATGAGGTGGTCACAGAACCGCGGATCAGGACTCCACACTCGCTTTGTGCCCAAGGCACGTCTCATTCACACACACACAACCTCGGGATGTCCCAACCACCAAAGGAAGTACTGTTCACCCCCCGATTTTCCTTACCTTTGGTTCATGCATGAAGTTACCTGGTTGCCACGTGGTGCTCGAGTAGGCCTTTTCCCCACTTTGCCAAGGGTCCGGA